ATAATAGTCTATGTGTTTCCTACTGCCAAAGGGGCCCTTTAGAGTAGTGAGAGAAGATCTTCACCCTGAAACCTACAGTGTCCCTCTTCAGCAGGAAGTAGCTAAGAGAATACGCCATCCCCTTTTCCTCATGAATCAGGGTGAAGTCTCCCTCAGGGAGGAGAGATAGGGAATTGCAAAGGACACACTGACAAAGGAGATTAATCAGAACTGGCTTCAACAAGCACTGTGGCAACTGGACAATTAAAACAGATATTCAGGGGAGAGGGGAAGAGGAACAAATTGGGGAGGAGGGTAGAGAAAACAGTGCAACAATGAATGAATGAAAACGCAAAATCTCTGTAAATGTTCACTAAAACTAATAAAATTTAATAATAATTAAAAAACAAACGACAAACAAAAAAACCCCAAAAAACAAAAAGAAACAAAAAAAGATAAAATAAAAAAACAAACACAGTGCCACTGAGTTCATTCTAACTCATAATGACCTTCTATTAGGTTTCTGATGCTGTAAATTTTCATTTTTTTTAAATTAATTAATGGTTTAATTTTCTTGTGATTTGAGTAAAAGTTTACAACACATATGCGTCTTTCATTCAGTCATTTGTGCACACTTTGTTTTGCAATATTAATTATGATACCCACAATGTATTCATGATTTCCTCACTTCATCCCTTTAATTCTTACTCCCGTTAATACATCTATCCTCCTTTTCCAGCTTCCATGACTTTATCCTTGTACAGATGCTTCTCTGTTGACCTTGTTGTCACTGTTAGGTTGTTGTTGTTGTTGATTGCCATTGAATTGAGCATGACTCATAGAGACTCTGTGAACAAAAGGTCTGAAGCCTTTATTTAACTGTTGATGTTTATCAAAGTTCATAGAGTTTCCAGGTGCATGTTGTTTAGGAAGTGGATGCCACTAGGTTGTGTTGAGTTTCGTTCAGCTAATAATGATACTGTGAACAGTACATCAGATCCTTGTCTTATTTCACATCATCTGCAACATCAGAATCTTGCTCAAGGATATTGGTATGGTTACTGTGTCAATTTATATTTGAGGATGTTTATCTTTTTTCCTGAGCCTCTACCTTTTCTAGCCTGGTTTCTTTTTTTCAAAGGCTGGTCCTTTCTGTTAACATGCTCAAAGTATGTGAAATGAAGTTTCACCATTATTATCTCTACACAGCACCCTGATTGTGTTTCCTCGAGGACAGATTTATTGTTCTTTTGGCAGTTCATCAACATCACAATTCAAAGGCATCAATTCATCTTTGATCTTCTTTACTCAGTATTCAATTATCAGAAGCACATGAAGCAACTAAAAATGTAATAGATTATATCAGGCACATCTTCATCTTGATCTTTAAACTAACATCATTGCTCTTTAACATTTTAAAGAACTCCTTGACATCATATTTTTTTCTCTTTCCAAAAAATAGTGACCTGACAGAGTGTGGAAACTATCACACAATATCATTACTCTCACATGCAAGCAAGATACTGCTGAAAATTATTTAAAAAATGACTCGAACAGCACATCAAAAGAGAACAGCTAGATGTGCTGGGTTTAGAAGAGGCTGTGGCACTAGGGATATTATAGCCAATGGTACATGGATCTGGTTGAAAGCAGACAGGACCAGAAAAATGTGACATCAGGTTTGGAGAAAGACTCATCTACAACCTGTGTTATGCAGATGACACAACCCTGCTTGCTAAAACTGAGTAGGACCTGAAGTGCTTGCTGCAGAAGGTCAAGGACTGCAGGCTTCAATGTGGATTGAAGATCAACATCAAGGAAACAAAGATTTTCACCACTGGGCTGACTGTCAGCATTATGATGGATGTTGAAGAGATTGAGATTGTTAATATATTTAGTTTTCTTGGCTCCACAATCAACACTCCTGTGTACCAGCAGCCAGAAAAATCAAAAGATGAATTGCATTGGGAAAGTCTGCTGTCAGGGACCTCTCCAGAGTACTGAAGAGCTGTGATGTCAGTCTGGAGACTTTGGTGCACTTGATCCAGGCTATAGTCTTTGAAATTAATTGCTATGGGTCAGAGAGTTGGACAATGACTAGGGATGATAGAGAACTGATGCCTTTGAGCTATGTCGCTTGAGAAGAATAGTGCATGTACTATAGACTGCCAGGAGAGCAAACAGGTTCATTCTGGAGAGGGTAACACCAGGCTGCTCCTTGGAGTCAAGGATTCTGAGACTTAGTCTGACATACTTTGGGCATATTTCAAAGAAGGACTAGTCCTTGGAAAAGGGACATCATGCTTGGAAGGGTGGAAAAAGAGCACAAGGGAGGAAGACCCTCAATGAGCTGGATTGATTCAGTGACTGGGATAATGACGGTAGGTGTATCAGAGACAGTAAGATTGGTACAGGATAGAGCAGGTTTCAAGGCATTATACATAGGGTCACTATGAGTCGCAAGTGACACAACAGTGCATAGCAACAACAACAATGACAACAACAGCAGCAACTTGGAGAAAGGACACATCCCTGACACACTCATTTCTTGATTTTGAACCTTGCAGTGTTTCCTTGATCTGTTTGTACAGCTGCTTCCTTCTTTAAGTGTAGGTTTCACGTGAACACAGTGAAGTGTGCTGTTGGTGTGGTACCTACCATCCACTCTGTAGGAGAAAGATGATGAGGCGGTCTCCTGTGCTTTTGACCTCATGTTTGACAATATGAGACCAAAAGGGCAGCACTTACCTGTGGATAAAACCCTGAAGGTGAGAATAGGTAGAATAGAAGGATTCATGGAAATGAAAACTACAGGGAGGAATTGGGAGAAATGCACATACATCATGGGTATTGTAATTAATGTAATAAAACATGTATAAATAAAGGGTTGAGTACAAAACCAACATGTGTTGTAAACTCTCACTCAGATCTCAAGAAAACATATTTAAAGACAAAAACAGAGATACGGAGGAAAAAACTGGACCCTCCCTGAAACCCACTGGAAGTGTTGCCATGAGTCAAATCCACCTGATGCCAAGGAGCTTTGATGGCCTAATGGAAGTTGCACTGTCAACTCGGAAGCAGGCAGTTTGAATCCACCAGTTGTTCTGAAGAAGAAAGATGGGCAATCTCCCATGCCATTTAACAGTCTCTAAAAACCCTTCAAAGGGTCAGCTATGAGTTGGTTCTGACTCCAAGGCTGACTCAAGGTTGTGTTGTGAGTCAGAGAGAGAACATTTCTTTGTAATTATTTCCTTCCACACGGAGACCCTATGGATCATACACAAATGAAAAGATAAGAACTCACTTGTTGTTTACAGTCACTGGAGGTACTGTCTTTGCTTGGAGTTGAAAAAGTAGAGTTGGTTTCTATAAAGAGAATGAGAGAAGTTTAGAAAAAAATAGTGTTTCTTCATGGTCTGAAACTGTGGCTTTGCTCTAACAAGTGAAAAATATTAATCCGCTTCTAGCCTTTTTCTGAACAGCTCCCCCCCCCCACACACCCATTTTGCAGTCATACTTGATGTCCTCTGCCAGGGAATTCAGAATCTAGGTTGCAAATTCTTTGGAAACCAGATGAGCTGTGGAAGGATACCAAGGATATCATCCATGAAGAATGCAAACAAGACAGAGAAGGAAGAAAAGACCAAGACGGATGTCAGAAGAGACGGACGATTGCATGAGAGCACCAAGAAGCCAAGGCAAAGGGAAGAAATCAAGAAGTTAAGGAGCTAAAAGGAAGATTCCAAAGGGCAGCTTGGGAAGACAAAGCAAAGTATTATAATGAAATGAGCAGAACTGGAGTTGGAAAATCAAAAGAGAAGGACTCGCTCGGCATTTCTTAAGCTAAAGGAACTGAAGAACAAATTTAAACTTCTAATTACGATAATTAAGGATGCTGAGGGCAGAAAGCTGAATGATCCAAGAAGCATCAAAAGAAGATGGAATGAGTACACAGAATCACTACACCAGAATGAATTGGCTGACACAGAAGGGTTTCATGAAATGACACATTATCAAGAGGTAATGGTGATGAAGGAGTATGTTCAAACTGCTCTGAAGGAATTGGCAAAAAACAAAGCCCCAGGAATGGATGGAATATCAATTGACATATTTCAGCAAACAGATGCTGTTCTGCACACACTCATCAGGTTATGTAAAGAAACCTGGAGGACAAGTACCTGGCCAACTGACTGGAAGAGAGATCTCTTTATTCCCATTCCAAAAACAGGTGACCAGACAGAGTGTGGAAATTGTCTAACAATATCACTAATATCATATGCAAGCAAGATCCTGCTGAAGATTATCTAAAAATGACTGGAACTGTACATCAGCAGAGAACTGCCAGATGTGAAAGCTTATATTAGACGGCTTTTGGCTGGAAGCACAGAGTAAAAGAGGAGTGTCTGTGTTTTATTGACTATGTATCAGAGAGCTGGACAATAACTAAGGATGATAGAAGAAGGATCGATGCCTCTGAGTTATAGTGCCAGAGAAGAGTGTTGAACGCATTGTGGACTGCCAGGAGAGCGAACAGGTCTGTCCTGGAGAGGGTGAAACCGGGCTGTTCCCTAAAGGCAAGATTTTTATTGCTCCATATCACATACTTTGGGCACGTGACCATGACCTGGAGGGATCAGTCCTTGGAGAAGGACATCATGCTTGGAAGAGTGTAGGGACAGTGCAGGAGAGGAACACCCAGGATAAGATGGATCACATTAATGTGAGAAACAGGATTAGGTCTGTCTAGGACAATGAGATTGGCTCAAGATAGTCCAGGGTTCAGAGCTAATGTATGTACAGTCACTCGGATTCACAAGCAACTCAAGGGCACATGAGAACAACAACAGTGTTCAAAAGGAATTTTGCAAATGTTAAAGATCTTGAAATAGTAGATTATCTTTTTTCTTTCTTTCTTTCTTTCTTTCTTTCTTTTTTTATTATTAAATTTTATTAGTTTTAATGAACATTTATAGAAATTTTGGGTTCTCATTCATTCATTGTTGCACTGTTTTCTCTACCCTCCTCCCCAGTTCGTTCTTCTTCCCCTCCCCCCCAATGTCTGTTTTAATTGTCCAATTGCCATAGTGCTTGTCGAAGCCAGTTCTGATTAATCTCCTTTGTCAGTGTGTCCTTTGCCATTCCCTAACACTCCTCCCTGAGAGAGACTTCACCCTGATTCATAAGGAAAAGGGGATGGCGTATTCTCTTAGCTACTTCCTGCTGAAAAGGGACGCTGTGGGTTTCAGGGTGAAGATCTTCTCTCACTACTCTAAAGGGCCCCTTTGGCAGTAGGAAACACATAGACTATTATGGAGATTGATTTTGGAATTTAGATGCACTGTTATTAATTGTGCTTAGCCGTACATGTTCATATCCTTGAAGATGTATCATGGAAGTGTTGCAGCCGGCCTTTCTCCTGCCAGGTTAGTTCCTCAACAGCACGGCTGATAGCTCTGGGTGATGGCTGGATCCGCGGTGATGCCCTGAGGTCACAGGGTAGATTATCTTTTATACTTTCAATTAAAATTTAACGACAGCCATTGGGTTAATGTCAACTAATGATGACCCTCTGTTAGGTTTCCCAGGCTATAAATCTTAATGAGAGAAAACTCTCTACTCTTCTACTCATGGAAAAGCTGGTAGGTTAGAACCATCTATTTTTTAAAAGTATTTTATATTTGTTTGCAAACAAAGTTCACATACATTGTTTGAAACTATCCTTTTCTCACATTGTTTCATGGAATAATTTCAATTCATCGTGCTTTATAAAATTAATCGCCGTTGAATTGTGCCCACCATTACTCTGTCTTTCCAGATCCCTGCCAGATCTCTCCCATTTCCCGTCCCCACCACTCCCTCCACCCACCGAATTGTGTGACCCTATGATTTCCCTCATGCCCACTCTCATTCCTCTGCTCCCACTCCTCTTTTTATCCTCATGCATGTTTTACTAGTTATCCTTCTATTTTTTTACAATTATAGTCATACAGTATTTATGTCCTTAAAAGACTGAGTTAGTTCATTCAGCATAATACTCTCCAATCTTTCACAAGTTATTTAATAATTTTCAAAATTGTTGCCCCTTTTAATTTCCTGGCTACTGGTGCCAAGAGTGTAATTTTTTTTTCTTTGTGGAAGCCCTGTAGGATTCTATAAACTTTCTTTATGAGACTCTTGTCTAAGATGATACTAACAAATGTTTTTCCCAGACAGTAGGTTTTATTTTCAGTCTGTTGGAAAAAGGTTTTGGTGCACGCAGGGATTTAAGTTTTAGAAGGCCCCATTCATCAATTTTATCCTCTCCTATACGTGTATTTCTGGCTGTATTTTTCAGCTTCTTTATACTATAGGCTAGGCCCTTTAAGCTTGATCCCACCTTATCTTTTATGATTTTTATGGTTTGGGGCTTTATATCTAGGTCTGTGATCCACCTTGAGTTGATTTTTGTGTATGGTATGAGATGTGGATCCTGCTTCAGCTTTCTACAGATAGCATTCCAGTTTTGCCAGCATCATTTGTTGAAGAGGTTGTCATTTTCCCATTTTTGAGGTTTGTTTCCTTGTCGATTATCCATTGACCAAATATTGATGGGGTAATTTATGGGTTTTCGATTCTGTTCCATTAATCTAAATGCTACTTATTTATTCTAGAGACTAATGTGTGCTTGATCCAGGCCATGATCTTCGCAATTACTTGCTGTTCATCAGAGAGCTGGACAATGACTAAGGATGACAGAAGAAGAATTGATGGCTTCAAGTTGTGATGCTGTAGAAGAGTCCTGAACATAACATAGACCACCAAGAAAACCAACAGATCTATCTTTGAGAGGGTGAAACCAAGTTTCTCCTTGGAGGCTAAGATTTTGAAGCTCTTTTTCACATACTTTGGGAATGTGGCCAGAAGAGACCAGTCATTGGATAAGAACAACATGCAAAGAATTGTGTAGGGACAGTGCAGGGTAGGAAGACCCCAGAGGAGATAGATTGATATAGTAACTTGGGTAATAAGTATAGGTGTGCAAGAGTCTGTGAGACTGGCTCAGAACAGGGCAGGCTTCAGAGCTATTGTACTATCACTGTCACTATCAGTTGCAGGCAACTCGATGGCATATAACAACAACAACAACAACATACTATTTATTTAATAATGATACTAAATACTACCTATTTAGGAATATTGCTTATTTAGTAGTATTTTGATTTAGTAGTATTTAAGTCTATGTACCTGTCACTGTACCAATAACACGAGATTGTACACAGCTTTAGTTTGCTTGGCTCCACAAACAACAGTCTTGGCACCAGCAGCCAGGAAATTAAAAGGCTCATTGCCATGGGAAAGTCTGCTGTTAGGGACCTCTCCAAAGTACTGAAGAACAATGGTGTCTCTCTGGAGACTAAGGTGCGTCTGATACAGGCCATGGTCTTCGCAGTCACCTGTTATACATCAGAGAGTTGGACAATGACC